CAGGTACACAGATAAGGTATACAATACGGATGACAACAGCATCAACTGTCAATGCCTGTCAAATCAGGTGAACATCTGAAGGAATAATATAGAACACCAAAAGAAAACTATTGACTATAAAATTGTTTGTTATCCTGCTGGTCTAAATAAAAGAGTCTGAGTTTCATCTACCCCCCTAACAATAATTATTCTGAATAAATAGTCTAGGATAGGACTTATGCAGCTTTAAGGACTAATGGCAAGACAGTTGTTGGCTGTAAGTAAACTCAACCTCAATGAAAGAAAAGGAATGGTTTGAAAGAAAACTTTGCAGTGTATTTACACTGCGCCCTGACTTTCACACCTGAGAGTTACCGGCAATATTGTTTTTCTGTATAGATATTCCCTGTCTTAACTTTTAGCCATACAATTATATAATTATATATACACACACACACACACATTCTCTCTCTCTCTCTCTCACAATCTCTAGCAAAAAGTAAAAACATATGTAAGAAAACAAACATAATGTACTTATTCAAGACATATTTGGACTATCTTCACCATACTCTGATCCTTTAGGGAACAAATTTTAAAGTAGTATATAATATATTTCAGCATTTCTTAGAGACTCCTGGCAAACCAGCAGAGAGGTGTGCTCTTTAAGATGTATATTTTTCGTTTGGGTGATGAATATATGCTGATTTATTCATGCCCTCTTGCCCAATTTCATAATGATTAATAGCTATCATTTACATGAGGTTAGAGGAGTGGTCTGTGGTCACAAAATAATTTTAAATAAATTCTCCCAAATAAGAACTTAACCAACGAACTTGACATTACTGGCATGGAATTTCAACCAATTAAACTAACAGACAAACATCTTTTATACAATAGGTGTTCAATATATATTTATTTATAGGATACAGTAAGAATTAGAAGGAAATTATTACTTTAATGATAAAAAGCATAAGAGTAGTAGCTACTCTTATCTTACCATAGATGCTACCCTACAGACCTGCTTAATTTCTATAATAGGTAACTACGTGCTCCTGAGAATAAACTTAAATGACGTCTTTTAAAAATGTAACATTTATGCTTGATACTGGAAATACTAAGTTTTTTAGGACTTCATCAGGATTAATTAATGAGTCATAAAAAAATCTAGTTTGTTCTCAAAAGTTAGTCATTTTTCTACATTTATAATGCATGGTTGATGAACAATGGAAGTATATATAACAGTTTGACCATATGAAAGAGACTTCTATGAATGCTGTTTTTGTTTTTTATACTCGATTAAGGGAAGATTTATTTAAGTATCTCTGCCTTCATAAATAAAAGAATAAATACAAGTAAAACAAAACCATGGAAATTTAATTATAGAAAATAAAAGTAAGGTAGAGTTTTTAATTTTCAGATAAGTAATCAAAATTATTTTGTATGTAGGACATGCTTGTTGATCTTCATATATCTCTAATGAGACCAAAAGGAATATATGAGAGGTTTTATTAATTATTGCTACCAATTAAAGGTATAATTAGGCATAATTATAATTTTAGAAAGTAAAATTATAAATTAATTGAATCAAACTGTCTTTCTATGCAAATATATCTTTTGGTATTTTGTGTGTGTGCGTGCGTGTGTGTTTGTGAAAAGGAGAAAAATCAGAAAGCTTAATGTAGTTGCAATGATTAAACATAAATTAGAATTCTGACCTTTCTGAAAATAAAACAAAAAGGTAAAATGGTTAAGTTACCAAGTTTTCAATATCAGAAAGATGAAGGCACATTGAAATATTAAAAGTTGTTAATTCAAAATATTAGTATCAAAACCAAAAAAAATTTAAAATGCTATGTCCGCTAAGGTGACTTTAAGTAAGATAAAATAATAGTAAGGACACTTCATTTTGAGAAAAAATAAAATAAAATATTTACAAAGAGTTAATTTTACTAACCTGACTTATTTTTCTTTGTTCTTGTATAGCTTTCTGAATTTCCTGAGATACTTTTTCTTGATCTTTTGCATGTTCCGTCTTCCATAATTCCCTTTCTTCAGCATGGGCTTTT